AATACAAATTTCTGACTCTGACTCTGCCTCTGCCTCTTACTGGCTGGTTGACCTTAAGGCAATCTATGTAAGTCTCTAAGTCTCAGCCTCTTTCTACTTTAAAATGGAAACCACAAATTTAATGCAAACCCCTTTCTCTTTTCCCATCTTCATATATCCAATCTGCATTCCCAGCATCCTTTGCAGGTAGGTGTGGCCAGGTGGCTGAGTCCTGGCTAGTGGATGGTGGGCAGAAGTGATAATGCCCCAGCTGACCTGCTTCACAGAGTCCGCCACACCTGCTCTTGCGTCCCCATCTGCCAGCAGAGAATGGTGAGGCCCTGGGAGGTGGCAGAGCTATGAGAACCCCGAGTGACTGCCAAGTGGCACCACCTGTGCAATACTGCATTATCTTCACTATTACAGGAAAGGCTGAGGTTGCTCACAAAGGCAGTTCCCACATCCTCAAGAAGAGAAATAATAGTAACATAGCATGCTCAGGAGGATTAGAAATATTATGGCAGGCAAGTAGTTAATAGTAGGTTTTATATATCACTACTCTTTCTACCTGCTCTAACACAGAGCCTGGAATAAGAAAGGGAACAAAAAATTTCCCAGTGAACTACTGTCAATTAAAGAGCACTGACATCACAGATTGATGTTATTTGGATTTTGTTGTTTTTCTAAGCTTGTACATGCATGCTAAGTCACTTCAGTCATGTCTGACTCTCTGCAACCCTCGGGACTATAGCCCACCAGTCTCCTCTGTCCATGGGAATTCTCCAGGCACCAATATTAGAGTGGGTTGCCATGCCCTCCTCCAGGGGGCATTTGGATTGCCCACACAGGGATTGAAGCCGTGTCTCCTGTGGCTCCTGAACTGCAGACGGATTCTTTACCACTGAGCCTCCAAGGAAGCCCTTTGTAAGCTTACTTATACTTAATTTATAAATAATTTTTTTCATAAATAATTTTTGATCTACGGTTAAGGGGAAAAAGCACTGGCATCATGAGTCCTCATCTCTAGCTTTGTCCCAAACTTTGGCAAAGGCTTAACCCTCTGGTCCTCAGTGTCCTTGCTTATAAAATGAAAGAGTCAAGTAATATTTAAAACTGCCTATATACAAGAATTCCCTGATGGTCCAGTGGTTAGGACTCTGAGTTTTCACTGCCAGGGGCTCAGGTTCAATCCCTCTCCAGGGAACTGAGATCCCACAATTAGTACAACCAGAAAACTTAAAATGTTATATAAATAATAAAATAAAACTGCCTATATGCTACAGCTCACTAGTCAATGAACGCCTAAGCTGTGCTCAGTACTTGCTAAGTCATGTCTAACTCTGTGAATCCCATGGACTGTAGCCCATCAGGCTCCTCTGTCCATGGGATTCTCCAGGCAAGAATACTGAAATAGGTCATTTCCTCCTCCAGAGGATCTTCCTTATCCAGGGATCAAAACCACATATCTTGCGTCTCCTGCATTGGCAGGTAGATTCTTTACCACTGAGCCACCTGGTAAGTGTTAGTTGCTCAGTCATCTTTGCGATCCCATGGACTGTAGTCTGCCAGGCTCCTCTGTCCATGAGATTCTCCAGGCAGGAATACTGGAGTGGGTTGCCATTTCCTACTCCAGGGAAGCCCACCTGGTAAGCCCAAAATGAAAGCTTACTTTCTCCTTAATTGAAGACTCCTCGAGGCAAAGAGAAGGGGAGAAAGTGGAAGCAGGGACAGATTTTGTTTTCTTGGGCTCCAAAATCACTGTGGATGGTGACTGCAGCATGAAATTAAAAGATGCTTGCTCCTTGGAAGGAAAGCTATGACAAATCTAGACAGCATATTAAAAAGCAGAGACATACATCACTTTGCTGACAAAGGTCTGCATTGTCAAAACTATGGTTTTTCCAATAGTCATATATGGATGTGAGAGTTGGACCACAAAAAAGGCTGAGAACTGAAGAATATATGCTTTCGAATTGTGGTGCTGGAGAAGACTCTTGAGAGTCCCTTGAACTGCAAGGAGATCAAATCAGTCAATCCTAAGGGAAAACAATCCTGAATATTCGTTGGAAGGACTGATGCTGAAGCTGAAGCTCCACTACTTTGGCCACCTGATGCGAAGAACCAACTCATTGGAAAAGACCCTAACGCTGGGAAAGATTGAGGGCAAAAAGTGAAGAGGGCAGCAGAGGATGAGATGGTTAGATAGCATCACTGACACAACGGACATGAATCTGAGCAAACTCTGGGAGCTAATGAAGGACAGGGAAGCTTGGCATGTTGCAGTCCATGGAGTCACAAAGAGTCAGATGTGACTTGGCGACTAAACAACAGCAAAATCAAAGACTCCTCTTCAGAATCCTGTCAACACAGAGCCCTAGATAGCTTCTCCCAGTTAATCTTAGTTGTTCTCTAGATGATACATGTTAGCCGTCTCTGACCACCTGTGATGTGATTCTGGCACCGACCTGCTTTACTATCTATTCTGAGGACCAGAATCTCAGTTCCCAAACTCAAGCTTACAGGAAGAATCACATTTAGCCTTTCCTACATATCATTTTCATTTTGAACTCTGGAGGCCTGATCCTGCTGGCTAGAGATGTAACCCCAGTCACTCATGACGAGGAGCCCTTCCTTCTAGGCAAAAATGATGCAAAGGTCCCTGGGTCTTATACCAGGTATGGGCTTGGAGAACACCTTCAGGCTTGAACAGTTCTGCAGACACACCACTGTCCCCAGCCTCGGTCCCTTGGTGTGGCCCACACTCTGCCTCTGTCCCATACTGGGGTTGGAATTCTTCGGGGAGGCTAAAAACCACACAGCCAGCCATTCCTCCTGAGGTCCCTGCAGAGGGATGCAGGGCCCTACTGCTTGCACAACTGGAAGCCACTCTCTGCTCTGGTCCAGAGACGCTGGAGTTAAAGGGGTGGTGGAGGGACAGCTTCTTTTCTCTCTTTTCCTGTTTCCCTCAGGTCTCTCCCATCCTCCACCTCCCAGTATCACTGCCTCAGCGTTAGTTGTTCAGTCGTGTCTGACTCTTTGCGCCCGCACGGACTGTAGCCCGCCAGGCTCCTCTGTCCATGGAATTCTCCAGGCAAGAATACTGGAGTGGGTAGCCATGCTCCTCTCTAGGGAATCTTCCTGACTCAGGGATCTAACCCAGGTCTCCCACAATGCAGGCAGATTCTTTACCGTCTGAACCAACAGGGAAGCCCATCACTGTCTCAAGGTAGCTTTAGAAAGAAAAGCCAGGGATGGAATTATCTTTCAGACAGCTCTTTCCTCCTGGCCACTGCTACCCCTGAGGGCAGAAAGCCCAGCACTACTGCCTAATTTGGGGAGAGTAAAAATATATATATATATGGGACTAAAAGACATACATAGCCTCAACCTAAGAAATCTCCTTCCAGTAAAGGCATCAAGTATTTTCAGGGCATGAAGCTGCTGTGAAAGCAAAGGCAGTGAAGTCTCCTAAGTGGACTCTTCACCTCGCAGGCTGGGTCTACCTTCGCTTAGATGGTTGGACTGGAGTCCGCACTCAGCTTCATTCAGCTTCCCCCAAAATGCCAGTGAGAGGCTGAACCAAACACGATGCATGGCAGCATCTAGTGCTACCAGCCCTGATGACACATCACTCAGGGTGTTCCACTCAGGTGGGAGGTGTGCCACAAGTCATAATAAATGCCAACATCTGTAATGATTCACCTTTTCTACAAATGTCACCCTCACCCCCATTTTGCTACGTTCTCTCGAGAGGAAGTAGAGAAACTCATGGCATTTTACAGCCACTCCCAGGAAATTTCAGAGGACCCAGCAAGAGGGACCCAGGTAGTCTCCAAGTCAAGTGTCTCCACAACAGGCTGCTCATATGTACCCCTTAGAGCTAGGACAGGCACGGGCTCTAAATCGCCCCCAGGACGTCAGCCTACATCAGAACGCTGACCATCTCAGGCTGTGGACAGCCAGGGGGCTCTCTCTGCCTCCTCTCACTTAAACCTGGTCCTAGACGAACCGAACCTAATAGATCAGGGCTCCTAGTTAAAGTAACTGACTTGGCCTGCTGAGTCCATGTCTTTATCTTTGAAACAGGGACTAGATTTAGGTGACATCTCAGCCCTTTCTGGGCCTGACCCTCTGAGGTTTTCTGTAAGTGACTAGTCACCAAAAATGAGTCCATTCCTTTCAGTTGCCAGAAGTCCTCCCCATTTGGTCTCTCCACAGCTTGTCAGCACAAGACAATCTCAGTGAGACCAGTATGGAAGGCAATGTCCCTAGCCAGGAACCAGCATTAGGCCACCATCCGTCCAGTTCTTGGGACCCACAGGCTCCTGGAGGGCTAAGTGTGGGGTAGAGGCAAATGGAGAAAAGGCTGAAACTCTCGCTGTTTGCAGATGACATGATCCTCTACATAGAAAACCCTAAAGACTCTACCACAAAATTACTAGAGCTAATCAACGAATATAGTAAAGTTGCAGGATATAAAAAAAAAAGAAAAGGCTGGATTCACTGGGTCATGCGTGCCACTGTTCTCAGGGAATCAGCATCTGAGAGCCCAACCAATGACACAGTCTGAGGGTTTGCAGGAGCGTGGAGCACAGAATGCTGGGTCAGGCTTCTTGCATCCACACCACCTGGGAGCTTACATAGAGATTCTGATTCTGTGGGCCTGGAGTGGTGCCTGGGAATCTGATTTTTCAAAGCCTCAGGTGGCTCTGATGCAAGATCCTAATGTATCCTTCCCAGAGAGGAAATTTTCTGTCTTCCACACACGAGGGTGTTGGCAGCCTGTGCTTGGACACCTCTCAGCCTGCCCACACCTCTGTACTTGCAGCATCTTATTTCCCCTGCATGTAAAAGCCCTCTCCCTTAGTAAGAATTCTATATACTGTCATTATTTGGCTCAGAGAAGGTAAGCAACTGGCCCTGGGTGGCCCAGCAAAGTGGATGCAGAATCAGGACCAGAAGCAGGTCCTTCTGCCTCCCAGGTAAGTGCCATCAGAATTCAACCAGCCGGGCTGGCGCACCTGCTCTGTGCCTGGGCCCCAGCCGCCTGGCCAGCTCTGCAGAACAGGAGGCTGTTGATGCAAACTGACAGCTCTGATCCGCCGAAGGCGCCCGCTTCCAGCTCAGCCTCTAATAATAGCTGTTCCTCGGAATTCCTCCCGTCTTGGTGGGAACGGAATATTTAGACATATCAAAGATTCTTTCCCCTTCTTTCATCGAGCCAACAGTGATATGAAAGGAGTACAATGAAAAGACAGGTCTCTGTGACAAGCTTCAGAGAGCAGCCAGTTCCCTGACAGCCCTCAAGATTCTCATTGACTCCGAGCTCCTCTGATGGAAGTCAGCGTGGGTACATAATAATAACACCTTCCATGTCTGTGGCGCTATTGTGGGGTTTTCGCCAGAGTGCTTTCACAGGCATTACCTTATTGAGCCTGCAAAGCAGGCGGGAGGCAGGCAGGGCAGGGATCCTTCTCCCCGGTTTACAAATGAGAAAATTGCTGTGCAGAGAGGTTAAGTGACTTGCCTAAGGTCACACAGCAAGTGAGTTGCTAATTGTGGAGTCCTCGTAGCCAGGGGCTCTGGAAGGCACTGGATCCTACATGGCTGTCCCTGGAAGATGCAAGAGGGCCTCCGCTGGTTGGTGGGCCCTGCCTGTCCCCCCCACCTCCTCTCTCCTTCATATTCCCTCCCTACCCTGCACTCGTTACACAGAATTCCTCTCAGTGCTTCCAAACCTGCCAACCTTTCAACACTTCTGTGTCTTTGCACATTTTGTTCTCTCCACTGAACACAACCTCCCTGCTTCCTCTCTCCCATCCCTATGACCAGCTTCTCCTTGTCTTTCTGTACTTAGCTCCAGCACTACTGCCTCCTCCAGGGAGCCTGCCCTGATGTCCACCTGGCTGAGTTAGGTGCCACCCGCCCCCCCCCCAAGCATATCTGTATCATGCTGTATCATCACCAGCAAGCTCAGTATCTCTCTCACCAAACCGTGAACCCCCTTCATCAGTTTACTCAAGCTGGCATTACAAAGTACAACAGACTGGGTGGCTTAAACATCAGAAACTTATCTTCTCATCATTCCGGAGCCTGGAAGTCCAAGGTGCCATTGGAGCTGGTTTCTGATGAGAGCTCTCTCCACGGCTTAGAGCTGACATCTTCTCCCTTCTCATGGGGCCTCTTCTCTGTGGTCTTGGGAAGAGATCTCAGGTCTGTCCTCCTTTTCTTATAAGGACATCAGACCTATCTGATTAGGGTCCCACCCTTATAACCTCATTTCACTTTAATTACCATATTAAAGGTCCCATCTCCAGATATAGTCACATGGCTGGGAAATGGGGGCAGGGGGTTGGGGGGGACACTTTTCAATCTGTAACAACCAGGTCTGCCCCTTCTTTCAAGGAGATCGTGTCTAGCCAGGGCCTGGCCAACATGTGTGTGTGCATGTGTGTTCAGTCGTGTCCAACTCTTTTGCGATCCCATGGACTATAGCCCAGCAGGCTTCCCTGTCCTTGGAATTTCCCAGGCAAGAATACTGGAGTGGGTTGCCATTTCCTACTCCAGGGGATCTTCCTGACCCAGGGATCGAACCCACACCTCTTGTGTCTCCTGCATTGGCAGCTGGGTTTTTTACCACTAGCGCCACCTGGGAAGCCCCTATTTGGGGAAGGCCAATGTGAGGGCTAGACATATGTCCCCTGCAGGAGTCCCTGTTTACAAATGCCTGACACATCACACATCTGTTGGACTCCCTCCCCCCGCAAGATGGGAAACTCACCTTTTCATTCTTGTCAACTCTATCATGACTCTGTGGTAAAGGAAGAATAGATAGGCAAGAATAGATAAGGAGATAAGAGGTTAAAAATGATAACATGTACCTACAAAGCCCACTTATTCCTACTGAAGTCATCAAAAAAGTCCATCCCTCATTCCCATTATTTGAAAATAACATCATTCTACCCCTGAGTCTTTGTTGTTCTGGGCTTATCATCTCTAAGTCACCCAACTGCTCAGCAAGTGTCTACCCCAACCATCCTCTGACCCTTTCCCAGGTAGGTGCATGGGGCCTGGACAGGACCAGAAAGAAACACTGCCTCTGGAGGCCCTTCTTTCTCACTGCCAAGGATAAACTGCAGACCCCACCTGCAGGGCCAGGCCTGAGATGATCCGTCTATTCCCCTAATTTAGTGACAAACTGGTACAAAGATCAGCACAGATGCCTCCTCCTCCAGGAAGTGCTCCTGATTGCCTCTGCAGTGCCCCCAGGACAGCAGTACCCCATTCTCATATGCAGCACATATTCCACCCTAGTGTATATTTTTCCAGTCACCTGCCCCACCACTGAAGTTCCATGAGGGCAGTCTGTGTCATGTTCATCTCTGCCTCCAAAACCTAGCCTCCTTGGGAGGTCTTCTTGGAACCACACTTGCTGCTGTAGGAGGCTGCCCCCTTGGCAAGGGCGTGGGCAGGAATGACCCTTGGGGAAGTCACATGGGCTGCCTTCCCATCCAGCCTCCCAAACCCAGGCAACACCCGGAACCTCACTACTTAGCCACTGTTGAATTTTAACAAACACTCCAAGAGATAATGGTTAATTTCACAGAACCGTGAGTGGAGGCTGTTAAAATGTTAATATTATTTAAATTGTTTTATATTTTCGACAGTTTGAGCTGCAAATATAAATGTTTTCTGTGCTTTCCACGGAGCTGAGCTCACAAAAATGATTGATGAGGCACCGAATATGGAATTTCCCACTTTAAATTAAGAAACGCACCGTGAGGGCGATGAGAAAAATATTACCCGCCATATGCAGCCCCCTGTGGCTCCAGAGGCCAAACTCCTTAGCGTGGGGCCCGGGCCAGGTCACTTGTTCATTTGGTCACAGTGGGCTCCTCACTTCATCTCCCTGGACCGGATGTCCTCGTCTGGAGATGAAAACTATGTCTACCAGCATGCCGTTCCAAAGATTCCATCGTGGGCTCACACATAGCAGTTTTGGGTGTTTCTCTCACACTGTCACCAGAGCTCACCACAATGACCAGGGGGATACTGTCTTATTCCCCATCTTTACAGTGTATGCACAGTCACAGACCCAGAATTAGAGGTGCCTTCCTGACATTAAGGCCAGTGCTCTTGGGACTTCCTTGGTGCTCCAATGGTTAAGAGTCTGCATTCCAGTGTAAGGTACATGGGTTCGACCCCTGGTTGGGGAACTAGGATCCCACATACTGCGGGGCAACTAAACCTGTGTGTGGCAAGTAGAGAGCCTGTGCACCACAACTAGAGAGAAGCCCAGGTGCTGCAGCCAATAAATAAATAAATACATTTTTTTTTAAAGCCAGGGCTCTTAATCATCATGTAAAATAGAATTAAAAGTGTCTGCATGCAATAGTGACAACTATTAATTAGTGAATGGTGATCTGCTCCCCTCTCTACATCCCACCTCCCTCACCTCCACACCCCAACATTCCAAACTCTGAGTGAGACCCTCCGCTTCACCACATCGTAAAATCTCAGTCTGCCAGTTCTAACTCTGGCTAGATCCAAAGGAGGGATGAGCTAAGGATGAGAGGCACAGCCTGCAGGCAGCATGGAGAAACTGCCAGGCCTAGTGCTGCCCTCTCTTTTACGCTCCTGTCAGTCCAGGCCTCAACACCTTCCTGTTTGCAGAGCCCAGGCCTGTCAGCCCCACCTCCAAGTCTCAGAGAAGCTTCCAGCCTGGCCCTGGTCTCATGCCCAAGGGGGACACCTGGGTTCCCTGCTCAGTCCCAGAAGGAGCCCTGTTTCATCCTCTGCCAAGCCCAGCCCAGGGTTAGGCACTGCACAACCATTGTGTCCAGGGCCTCTCTCCCCCAGGTCCCAGCAAAGGAGTTATTATTATTATTTCTGTGTTGCATATGAACAAACTGAGGCTGGGAGAGACCAAACCCAAGAACACACAGCTTGTAAACAGCGGGGGGCTAGTGATTTTTCATTTTGTTTTATTAACTTTCATTGAAGTATAGCTGCTTTACAATGTTGTGTTGGTTACTGTATAGGAAAGTGAGTCAGCCATATGTATACATATATCCCCTCTCTTTTGGATTTCCTTCCCATTTAGGTCACCACACAGCATAGAGTTCCCTGAGCTACACCATAGGTTCCCATTAGTTATCTACTTGATACATAGGAGTGTATACATGTCAGTCCCAATCTCTCAATTCATCTCACCCCCCTTCCCCCCTTGGGGTCTGGTTTAAACTCCAAAACTCCACATTGCCTCCTCCTGCTGGGATGGCCCCTGGGTCTGAGCCCCTGACCTGCACCACACTGTCAGGGCCCCACTGTAGCCTTATCAGTCATCATTCATTCATTCATCACAGGAGTTGTTCGTTCATGTAGTGCCTACTACAGAGCAGGCCCCATGCTAAACCCCAAGGGGACACTGGTGGGGGGCACTCACAACCTCCCCACATCTGACGGTCAATAGAGGCTGACAGCCGTGCAGGGAAGCAATTGGGACAGTGTGGACTGTGCCACATGGAGGGAAGATCATGAAAGGGCCCCTTAAGCCCAGGCTGGCAAATCAGGGAAGGCTCCCTGGAAGAAATACCATCTAAGCTGAGATTTGAATAATAGGCAGGAATTAGCCAGGCAGTGAGGCGTGAGATGGTGCACCCACTGAGAGCAAGGCAGGAGCAGAGACCTCAGCATGAGCCTGGGGTGGGGGCAGAGGTAAAGGGAAGAGGGGCCTGGAGAGTTGAGCAGCCCTGCAAGTTTGGCCAAGGAAGATGGGTGGGCTCTACCCCAAGGCAGGTTCAGGTTTTTAAGCAGAGGGGTGAGGAGGAGATGTGGGGTCCAGAACACATCTGGACCTGTCTGGCTCCAGTATGGAGAAGAAAGAGAACCTGAAGATGAGGCCAGGGACCAGCAGGGGTTGGAGGAGTCCCCCCTGAGCAGCCATGATATGCGAAAGGGGGCTGGCTTAAGGAGTAAAGAACACTTAGCAGGAGGAGCTGAGAGCCTGTCGACTGACTGAACTGGGGGTCAGGGGTGAGGGAGGTGCCAGGAGGACCCCAGTTCTGGCTGGAGTAGCTGGGTGGAGGGAGGGACAGGACCCCGCCACCCACAGAGGTTGTCCTATGGCTCATCCAATGCTGGGGTCCTCCACTGGGCACTGA